TTTAGAGCTAAGAGGTTTTCAGGGCTGGTCATTTATGAATATATACATAATATACATAATAATATATATACATAATAAGAGGTCACTTTATTGAAATGCAGTAGAGGAAAAGAGCCAGCAGCAGGGAACAGTAGATAGTATTTGATTTAAACAGTAATGTGAGATTATTTAACTACATTTGAAAAAGGGAGAAAGGTAGGCCAGGTTATATTAACTACACTACAGACACAAAATGTGATTTATCAGCATAAATAATTGCACGAAAGCCTCTGCTTGCTGCAGTGGCAACATTAAGACAGTCTTGAAGCAGGACTCACAGAAGCACCACATGGATCCCTCACTATGATGGCGACATTAACATAAAACAGTTTGTGCAACATAAATCAAGCCAAAACCCAAAAGGAGCTCAGTGTGGGTACGTGTGGGTCAGAACCACCCCGTGAAAGGGCCTTTCTCTGCTCCATGTGTTTATTTAGCCTGTCCATGTAATGATAGGGGAATCTGTAAAAGTGCCACCGCTGCTGCCACACTCCCTCATTCTGTCTCTGTGTGTGATAGTCTCTCCTTTAATGCACAAAGGCTGCAGTTTCTTTATCACCCTGTCACTTTCATCTTCTTAGAATGTCACACACTGTTTCCTTTTCCATCTTTGGTGACTGCAGGTATGTGTCAGAAACAGTCTGCACAAAGACATCTCTGTTGCAGTTTCTAATTAAAGAGCAAAAGCAGGTTCGTTCATTCTCATGGATCAGGAGGGGCAGCATCTCATACTAGGTACCAAATGACTAGAGTGCCAAGTATTGAATTACTGAGTTTATTATAAATGCAGTAACAAGAAAGTCCTTTAACGTTCTCCAGATGAACTTCTGCCAAATGTTTTAAATGTGTTATAAAATGTGACTAATTAGGATTTACAATTATTTAAGATTCATTGCTTAGACGTCTTGTTATGACAAAGAAAAAATCAACTAAAGACAGATTTCCATGCTTTTTGTGCACGGTTTATTCATATTAGACCCACTGAAAACTGACATTTGTACAATTAATTTACGCAACTTAGTGTCAAAATGCAACATTTAGTCCTTTTTTTTAATCATCTTTAAACCATCATTCAGAAAAAAAGAATCTTTAAGTTACCATTATGACACCGAAAGCCATAAAAACAATGTTATAGTAAAAAGAGCAGACAAAAAATGACATGAAATATTGTGTTAAACTGTTTTCTGGGTTATGGAAAATAAAACTTTTGTTTAAATTAGCACTATCTATATATTGTCAAGCAAGGCGTTACTGGGTCCCATTTTAAAGTCTTTGGTATGACCTAACTGTAGATTTGAACCCACAATCTCCCATTCTCAAGGCAGACACTTGGCCACTGAGGTGGTTAAAGGGATTATGTTTGCCTACTGGCCAAGATGTCGGGGTTGGGCTCCTGGGTGAAGCTAGTGGATGGGGAGGGCAATTTGGGCCTCTCTGCTGCAGCTGCTGCCCCCGGTGGACAAAAAAAGCAAAGCACATAATGCATGCAGGACACCTGAGAATATGAGAGTGGAGTTCATTTAAAAATGTTTATCCTATAGGTGGATGAAAGGGGGTGTAATTTTCATCACCCTAAAAGCAGGTTTTATAAACGATTACAGCTTAATCCCACTCTCTCTAGTCTAGATTCAACCGAACACTTTACTTGTGTCCCTATCAGTGGAAAGATTCCAGTCCCCCTGTTATGGTATAATCTGGGACATTGTCCAACAGAGTGTAAATATAGGCGACACACCCTGAGTGTGCAATGTGCACGTGATGTCTGTCATAATCCTCTACCGGACTGACATCTTCACACAGTGACATCAACCTGGTGACAGTGTTTAGTAAACATCTCCTTCATCTGTGTTGGTTTTCCTTAAAAATGTAGAATTTGTGTGGCTAAAGGCACTCCTTAAAAAAGTTCAATCCTAAACACTGTAGCTCTTCCTCACCTTAAATTTGATTCATAACAAGAGCAGCCTGAAAACCTGCCTCTTCAGCTTCCTTTAAAAGTAGAAGTACAGTAAAAGACTGAAGCCAGGACCAGATCTGGAGACTGTAATTTGAGATCTGGTCAAAAAAAAAAAAAAAGAAAAAAAATAAGTTCTAGCAGTTGAGAAGTACACCATCCAAACTCTTCTGGTCCGCTGTGACTGGTTTTGGAACTAAGGGAATTGTGGAAAGAGGATTTTTATTTTTAGGCGGTCGGCACACAGCAGGCATGAGCACAGACTGCCGTTTCTGACTGATGCGGCCTGCTGCTTCCAGCTTCGCCCGCCCTCTGTACTAACTCCCTCAAAGGCTACACTGTAAAAACAAAAAAAAAAAGAAAGCAGCCCAAACACACGCGCCATTGTTAAAAGCTTAATTGCTTGTGTTAGTAATTAAAACCGCAGAGTGCAAAATGTCTGTTAGACAGCAGTTCTATTCACCGCGGCTGAATGAAGTGATTCACATCAAGCAGCTCCACAATCACAACAGCACTGCAGCCAACAATGATCACTCTTTGACCATTCACAGCTGTTCTGTTTGCACCAGAGCGACTGTTAGCGCGCTGTTCCCCGACTGCACATTCTGTTGATGTTATTGCTGCACAAGTGATAACCCACAGCATCTAACAGGGTCTCTTTCATGCACTGGTTTGATTGATGAGGAGGTGAAGAGAGGATCTGGCTCACTGATGGCAGACTGACCCAGACTATCGGAGTGTGCCCTGATTCCTGTCGCTCAGATGCAAGAACTGTGAAACTATATATCTGCTTTGAATTAATTTCTATTGCCAACGACGTGAACAAGCATTTGTCTTCAGGACAAATTTCTTCTCTTTTTACTTTTTTGTCAAATGTTTTAGATTAGCAAACAAATTTCAATATCAGACAAAATTAAGCTGAGTAATAATTGACCCTAAACCTTGCAGCAGTTTGTTACAACCTCGTTAGCAACAATGTGATAACTCATAGTGAGTCTCTCATATCGCTGAGAGGGAATTCTGTCCTACTCTGCTTTACAGAAGAGTTTTTTTCAGTCATATTGGAGGGTTTTAAATCATGAATAGTCTGTTTAAGGTCAAAGGTCAGACATTTTCCTTCAGGAACGTTTGCTTGAGAGCAGAAATCAGGATTCCACCAATTATAGCTAGTGGTCCAGGTCATAAAGCAGCAAAACAGTCCCAGACCATCACACACTACCACTACCATGACTGACTGTTGAAATGATGCTTTTTCTCTTAATCCTCCAGAGGCAGGCGTTGTAGATTTGCAACGTTAAACCCTACCTACCTGGTTACTCCACAATCCACGTGCGTGTTTCATGAGCATTTTTTAACTCAGAAGTTCCCTTGAAGGACTTAGTTGTTTGTCCTTTTATCAAAACTTATTTTGAGCCTGAGAGGGTTAAATGCAATATTAGTTTTATACCAGATGTAACGGGACACATACTTTCCAAAAAGTTCTTCTTATGTCTTATCAGTCTACAGAACATGTTCCCAAATTCCTTAAGAGGTTTTTTTTATTATTATTATTTAGTGAGATTTGTCTATGCGTTATTTTTGGTCTACTTTTGATGCCAAGGTGTCTCTTTCTTATTGTTAAATCATGACCTCTGATTTTAACTTTAACCAAGGAGACCTTTAGTGCTTTAGATGTTGTTCTGGTTTCCTAAATTCTCAAACGTCTCTAGAACGAAGCATGATGGGATGCTTTTTGAGATCTCTTAGCCTACTTCATGTTGCCAGACAGGTTCTACTGAAGTGAGTTTTTACAGTACTGTGCAAAAGTTTTAGGCAAGTGCGAAAAAATGCTGTAAACATTTGCAAAGTACTGTTTGTCCACAGGTCTGGTAGCAATCAGGCCTGGGTGTGGCAGCTGGAACTGGATTCAGGGTTATAATTATGTGGTTAATCACAGTTAATTCCTGATTTAACAACTGGGCCAGGTTGGTTTGGATGGTTCTTTCTGTTTATCAATGAAATGTTCATTTTAAAGTGGTCATATCATGGAAAATTCACTTTGTTGGGCTTTGTACCAAGTTAGATTGTCATTTTCTTATGAGAAATACTCTCAAACCCGAATTTGGCTGCATTCATGCATTTTCCAGCTTCAATTTGGTCCATGTAAATATTTTTTTCTGCATCCAGGATAAAGTAGCCCACTTGTGTCATCAGGCATTTCTTCTGCCCCTGAACCTGCCCTGGTCTCAATTCTGAAAACCTGGATATTCTGTTGATATTCTGACAATTTACTCCTGCATCACACCACCACAAAAACCAGGCGTTCTGTCTGCAGAGATGCACGTAATGGCCAGTTCAGGATATGTGTCTTAGGCGACTATTGTTTTGTAACAGATATGGCAGTCCAGTGGTTAGAGTGCCAGGCCGGGCACTTAAACCTAGCGAGACTATTGAGGCCAGTACAACAACAGCCTTGCCTAAGATGCTGTTGTAGGAGCGTTTGTTGGAGTGGGCGTGGGCGGAGCTTTGCTCAAACTAACAGCTTCAGTTCCAGGTATAAATTCAGGCTGACAAAAAAAAAACAAACTCAAATGACATCTCAATAGTGCCAACAGTAATATTTTATCATATATTGTGCCCACCTTTGCTCTCAAAGTTTTAAAATAGCATGATCTTGCCCATTTAACAATGCATTCAGAAATGTACTCGGATCAACGTTGACTGGTGTAATACCAGTAGTACTGAACTTCATTTGGTGTTCTGAGACAGTTGAATGGTACAAAACAGCAACATCAGAAACAACTGTAAAGAGACAAATGCCTTTTGCATCGAACTGCATTCAAATGTAAGGATTCAGTGGAGCGCAGACCCACGTTTTTGTTGCTGAGTTTGAAGCCAACACTCATCTGTACTGTTGCTTTAGATCCCAAATAATAATGATGAAGGATCTAAATACTGTTCTTTTGTATCTGAAAGCATTTCAGAGAATGTCTGCCTGCCTTTGTTTCAGAGGACGTTGTAACTCAATCACCTGTGTATCATGTCTTCAAGCTTTTTCCCATGTTCTTCATCGTGTTCCAGCTGTTTCCGCCGAGCAGCTTCTTCCTCTGCTCCCATTCCCTGGAGGAGCCATCGCTCGCGCATGGCTTTGGACTGTGGAGGACACAAAGACACTGCTGCATAAACAAGACAGTAACCAGTAAGCGGGACTCACTACAAACACGAACAGCAGCAGCACCTTGTGTGCTTTGTAAAGGTTGCCGATGCACATTATCGTATATCCCAGAGAACAGTAATGTTGATTATAATTTTTGAAATTTTGCATCCTCAAGTCGCCACATGTGACCATGTGATCGAAAAAGGATGCAATTTAATACCAAATAGTCAATTTATTTGAAAATAACATGATATAAGTCAAGAAGAAGATGAAACAGCCAGCTTGTTGGTTTTAAAATTTAAAATGAAGAAATTATTCAAGCAAAAAATTTTTTCTGCTTATTAGAAACGACCTAAAACCCTAACCCTGCTACAGTTTTCTAGCCTCAGAAAGTAAATTAAATGTTTACATGTATTCAACACATATCAGCTCACATAAAATATGTAAGTCTTAGAGGAGGAATACTATTTCAGAAGAAAGTTTTGCTTTTAATTAATTCATCAATAATTCAATCCAATCCCAATCCAATTTTATTTATAAAGCGCATTCACAAGGCATTACAACCAAACAAGGCGCTGTGCACTAAAAATGTTAGATTAATTAAACCGGCGTTATACAAACATGTCGAACACAGATAAAAGATAAAAAGGAAATACAACAAAAATACCAAAAATAACAGCTAAAAATCAATAAGACACAGGGTGAATAAAAATGAGAAAAAACATTTTAAAAAGAACCTCAATAATACGGACGTCGATAATTGTGGAGTCCATTTTTGAACAGTGCAGATGTGAGTGAGGTTCATAATTATGTGGTATAAGCTAGGTTGAAGTAGTGAGTTTTCAGGCGTGATTTAAAAATGCTAGCTGTTGGTGCTTGCCTCACTAGCAGTGGTAATGCGTTCCACAGCTTCGGTGCACAGACAGAGAAAGCCCTCTCTCCACGGCTTTTTAAACGTGCATTCGGAACAGCTAATAATCAAAGACATAAACAGAGGAGTCATTCTTCTCAGTCCTCAGATGTTTTTGGATTTCTGTAATCTGTTATAGCTGACTGCCAAAGCAATGTTTATGTGACTAATATCTCCATCTGTGTTTTCAGATTTGTTTTCACCTCAGCACAATCGAAAGTGGACACTTTGTTTTATCTTTAGCTGTTTACTAGCAAACCGTTTCTTGGCTGCAGGTTGTATAGCTGAAAATGTGGGTTCATCCAAACACACAGAGAAACATGCAATAAGCTGCAGAAATCATTACAAAGTATTTCACCAGCTGCTGCCAGAATGTAGCTGATGGGCTTGATTAACACAAGCACAACCTGACACTCACTTTCTTTTAAAAATGTATGAAAATGTATGTTTACTGAATCTGCAACCTCAGCAAAAAAACATTCATGGTCACTTATTCTGTTAGCAAAACAGTTCCTATAAAGATTTTATGTGATCTTAAAAAAATGAGGCCCAAAGGTAAACTTTCTCTATGTTTGAGATATATTATTTTAGAAATAAACATAAACTAATTATCGTGTCAAAAATAAGTTTTTTTTTATAAAGGCTTTGTAGCCATTCAGCCCTTTTGACCAAATTGCAGAAGCATAAACAACAAAGAGCCACTGCAACCCTGTTTTGAAGAGACCTAGTCTCAACAGGGAGCTTGTTGAAGTTAAACTTTACTGTAGAGTCAGTGATGTTTACACGGTCGCACACCCAGATCAACGCCTCCACTCTCAGAGGCCTGAATCATGCAGCCTTGAGGTTCTTATCACATCTCTGAACTCCAGTTCCCATTTCCTCTCCCAGGCCACCGTGTCTCTGGAGAGCTCCCGACAAAGCTGTCTTCATGCTGTCTGGCTGTGCGGCACTCAGAGGTAATGGCCATAAAATGGGACTGTGTTACCAGATGCTGATTACATCTGGAATTCAGACTTTCTGAAGCTGTATGGTAGAACGCTAAACAGAGCAGTAGAAGCTTGTTTCCAAACAGTGAGCCTGTTTTCTCTTTCACTTGTCAAATCCACATTTTTCCAAGTAAGTTTTCAATTTTTTCAGTGAACACTTAGTTTACCATCATACATTTAACTTATAACTGCAGACACATTTTATTAGAAAGCTGGAAATGAAATCTGTGAATGCTAAGCACACAAAACACAACAATTACATTATTGCAGAATAGTCAACATCTGTGTCAAAGTGCCAGATAGCAGACAACTACTGAAGCAAGTAGACATAAAAACACATCAGATATTTTCAAATTACAGCAGTCCTCTGTTCAAATACTAGTGGTGGGACGTATGTCAAAATTAAAAGATCGTGACTTTTTATTCAGGAGTAAAACCCTGATTTTATCCTGATTATTAAGGTCTTGAACGACATTCTTCTTTCAACCGTTGGTGGCAGGTTTGTGCTGCTTGTTTTATTGGATTTGACTGGTGCCTTTGATATGGTGGACCACAATGTGTTGTTGCATTGTCTTGGCCATTACGCGGGAATTAATGGCCTAGTTTTAAATAGATTTTGTCTCTATCTGTGTGTTTTGATGGGTGGTTTCCAGGGGTGGACTGGCCTGTCTGGCATTCTGGCACTGTCCCGGTGGGCCTCTTTGGCCATCACAAACCTGAGCTCTGACATTCAGTGGCATAGAGACGAGTCCTCGAGCAGCACATACAACCCAACCGACTGAAGAAAGTACAGTGCTATACAAATAAAGTTTAAGTTGAGCCGAGGCAGTATGTTAATTAGTAGATTAATCCGTTTCACTGTAAAAGCCAGCTGTTGGTGATTGAAAATGGTAAATGGACTGTATTTGTACAGTGGCTCGTTAGGGTTCAACAACCCCCAAGGCACTTCACAACACAGTCAGTCATTCACCCATTCACACACACATTCACATGCTGGTGAAGATAAGCTACAGTGTAGCCACAACTGCCCTTGGGCGCACTGAAGGACGTGAAACTGACAATCACTGGTCCCTCCGACCACCACCAGCCAAGGCAGGTAAAGTGTCTTGCCCACGGACACAACAGCAGCATTCTCTGGCAGGAGCCAGGATCTAACCGTCAATTTTCCAATTACTAGACAACCCACTCTGCTGCCTGAGCTACTGCTGCCTCTGCAAAAGTAGCTTGGGATATTTTTTAGAGGTGACTGTAGTTAATTCGCCATTAACATTATTAGTTCAATATTAGCAAAACATTAGCCTCTAGCATTATTTCAGTAATAAAAAAAAATCTAACAGCTCCCAAGCTGGCTGAGAAGGAATTCTGTTAAAATGTAACCTTAATTCCAAAATGTTTGAGACATTAGACTGTTTTGTGATTACCGTATTTAATTGTACAATTCTTACTTATTGCACCTTTATGAAAGCACACTAAAGATATGAGGCAGTGTGCTACATCTAAAGTGGTAGGGGTGGAATTAGCTCTTTGCAATCAAACTTTCTATTAGAAAATGAGTCACAATTTTTCTGATTTCTCTGCTTTGGGAAATCCTTCTTGATCGCCCACCCCAACTGAATACCACAGAGTAGAAGTAGGTATCCCTACATCTTAAATCTGGGGTATTCAATTCTGGTGCTGGAGGACAAATCCAGCACGTTTTAGTGGTTTTGCTGCTCAAACAATTCCACATTTCAAAACCACGACTCAGTGGTTGAATCACCTTTGCAGCAGCTCACCAGGCTCTGCAGAAGCCTGTTAATGGCCCGCTAATTGAAATCAGGTGAGTTGAAACAGAGTTAAAACTAAAACGTGCAGGATATCGCCCCCCCAGGGCCAGAATTGAATACTCCTGTCGTACATGTGTGGTAGGTTGTTCCACAGCCTTAGGGCAACACCTGCAAGCACCCTCTTACCTGTACTTTAGTTTTGATTTAAAATTATCTAAAATAATATGATAGTTTGACCTAAGACTTCCAGATGTTGAAGACTGGATGAGATCACACCACTGGGAATCCTAAAAAAACCCAACAACATTATTATCCTGGTGCGAAATGGGCACGTTTGCACAATGGTGCTAGGGGCCATAATTATTTTGTACAACATGAAAACAGTGAATGGAGGACTGATCCTAACCTACATGCAGGAATTTGCAGCAATCCAAGCATGTTGTGATGAAGGGATAAAGGACTTTATGAAAGTTTTTTGGAGAAAAAGCAGAAGGCTTTGCATTGGCATTAATTAAATGAGAGAAGCCTGTTTGGATGACTAACAAATTTAAATTTTGGTTACTTAGTGGAATCAAACTCAACTATATAAAATATGAATCCAAAACCCTGACTTTTGATTACAGTACACCAAACATTGTTTTACAGGCCTGAAACATTTGATGCATGTGGCTTTAATCAGTGTTTCACTTACAATGGAAAACAGTGGAAAACACGGGTATGTGAAATCCAATGGATTTGACAAAGGATTCAGTCATGTAAAATCTGTTTACTAGCTCTAATTATCTAATGGAATATATTTTTACTGCAAATGTTTAAGCTGGCTAGCATATTTGTAGCATAATTAGTAACCGCAAATATGTCCCAACCCACCCAAAGTCAGCAAAGCTTTAAAAAAATACAAAATTTTCCAAACACATCCTTCAAATGGTAAAAAAAAACCAAGTTGATCGCACAGTGGTGCTGAACAGAATCGAGTTACCCAATGTGAAAATATTTTGCTGTTTATTTTTATGTTTGGACGAGTTTTAGTTAATATTTTGGTGCCAAAGTATGCTGGAAGTCCTTTTGCCCTTACATTTTGTTCATTAAAACTGTTTTGACTGATTTAAAAATAGCCTTACTCGCCAGTAATGGCTGGCAGTATTAGGAGATGTAATGTTTGTCTGAAAGACAAACATCATCGAGCCAAACTTGTCTCTGACAGGCCTGCAAAATACCAGCTCATCAAGCTCTCCAGAAGTCTGTAAATCACCTGCTGATTGAAATTTGGTGTGTTGAAACAGGGAATAAAAACACTAAAACAGGTGGGACAGCAGCCCTCAAGGACTGGAGTTTGACACCTGTGCCTTAGGGAGTCCTGGAGGGTGTGTGGGAGTTTAACCAACCAATCTACATGTGTTTTGTGGATTAGGAGAAGGTGTTTGACCGCGTCCTGCATCGATGCAGACTTTGGTAATGTGCGGATCAAGGGTGTAAAAGGGCCTATGTCTCTGGGCGACACCATATTAGACGCCATGCTTCCTTCGTCGGAAGCCCGTGAGAACAAAACTAATTTACTGATTTGTAACATGTGGTTGCAAAACGTTCACCATTGTTGTTGTTTTACACATTTATCTCTTCACTTGTTGCCAGTAATGAAAGTGAGTCTGATGTGCTTTTCATTTTTCTTAGGTATGTTCTGCCCCCTAATGCTGGGGAAAATACACATGGTCACTTTAAGAACATAAATAGAATTTTTAGAGACTAAAACTGACTTTTTAAGACCAACCAGAGACTCAAATAAAAACTTACACCAACATGCCCATTAACACTAAAACAGAAACAAAATAAACAACCAACCTTAACATGTTGAAGCTGTAGCACCAGGTCATCAAGCTGACTTCTTTTGTCTTCGATTTCAGCTTGTCTTTTTCGCTTCTCCTAGGACAAAAGGGAAAGACAGATGAATTAGCCTCATTGGAACCACTAATTTAAAATCCTTCATTATTGCCAAAAAGTAAATAAAAAATAATCAACAACAACTCAATTTTGTTTTAATTTTACTGGACATGAACCTAAGAATAATACAGCAGAGAATAAAAGTTGAGCACCAATATCGGACCATGAAATGCAACTTCTTGTCAAACTCAGTAAATGTCCCATCATGGAGAAATTGGGAAAGAAATGAAACATGTGTGGACACAGACAATTCTTGGAAGTATCAGGGGTCAGAGCTGACCGACCGGTGTCAGGGCCTATATGGACGGGACGGATCGGGCCTTGAAGCCTTAAGGTTGGTTTATGCTTGACGCATCCGCGAGGTCCGCACGGCTCCGCGCGGCGAAATTGCATCATTTTAACAACCACGCCCCTCCACCGCGTCTCCACATGGCCCAAAATGTCTGCACTGCGCACCTAGGAAATTTTCTATCCACGTGGATGGTCGGACGTGGAAAAACATGGCGGACTGGAGAGAACTAGTATGGCAGAGGTTGGTAAATACAGACATTCGTATGATTCAGCTCTCAAAGATCACCGTGATCAACATGTTGTTAATAATTCTTGGAGAGAAATAGCTCGCACTGTCGGAAAAGACGAGAACGCTGTTAAAAATGCTGGAATGCCATGTTGTAAACAGTAATTTCTACTTCTACTATGGTGTAGTGTTGGGTGCATGCCGTAGAGCTCCATGCTGCCCCGTTCAGTTTGGGAGAATATTGGCTCACCGCAGAGACAAGCCGCATGAACCATAAACGCTGCGAGTTGTGAAGCGCGTTCCATCCGCGAGCCGCATCACCAAGTGGAAAGTGAATGTGTCAAGCCAAGCTTTAGATTGATCCTGACAAGTAAAAAACTCATTTATTTCACGGGGGAAATACATCAGGCTGGTGGGTGGAGGAAGGGTTGGGTGTATGGTAAAAGGAAGGACTGAAGAGTTAAAATGGGAGAATCATGGGAAATAGAGTCAGAGTTTATAAACCAAGTAAAAAAAATCTATGGAAACTTAAACAAAGCACATCCCACAACAAGCCTCAGTGGGGCACAAGGTCAGTAAGATACTGAGCTTTCTCACTCCCGTTCTGTGGGAGTGAGACAAGGATTTCTAGGATATTTCCTGTTGGCTAAATATAACATTCAGGGAAAGCCCCTTTATGAATAAACTCTGGATCAATGTCTGAGGGGAAATACTGTAGGAGGGACTTAGAGCAAAGAGGAGATCTGGTCACTAAACAGTGACAGCTCATCTTTAATGTTTCTAGAAGTGGAAATGAAGTAAAAAAAAGTTTGATTTTCAGATCTGTCAAGAATGTTGTTGAATTGTACCCTACACTAAACAGACCTTCCATCATCAACTTATCCTACAAGTGGGTTCTCTGCCTGCCTTGTGCCCCATAACCCTTCACAGAATAACTCTCAGAATCCAAATCTGTTCCAAACTATTCAGCTCGGTTTCATCCAGCAGGACAAAAACATGCACATTAGGTTAAAACTAATGAAATCTTCTGCTAAACAAATAAACATGGGTTAAAGACCTGAGCCCAGCCACAAGCACTATCCTGCATGTAGTAGATGTTTCCTTTCTCTAACACGCCCGGGTAAAATGATTATCTCCTCATCATCCCAAGTTCTGAAACCTGCTAATTAACAAGCTATATTGAATTGAATTGAATTCAATTCAAATTCAAAGATTATTAATCCCAGAGGGAAATTAGAGTATTAGAGAATCAGGACTGTTGAAGCAAGATGACATTTTAAACATGCAGGATTCTGACCCTCTAGGACTGGATTTGAAGAAGGAGAAACAATCTTTTATATAGCACCTCTCAAAATTAAAAATCATGAGGCGCTTCACAAAAATGAAACATATAAATAAAAAAGACTAAAAAATGAGTTCAAAATATCAAAGATGGGAGAAGTAAAAATTGTGATTAAAATCTGAGTAAAGGGGAAAAGAAAGTGAATAAGAAGAAGTAATTCAGGGAAAGGCAGAACTGGTAGAAAGAGCTGAATGTGGAGAAGGCAGTGGTGAAGAATCAACTGAAGTTCACACAAAAGCCAGCTTGAACAAGTGAGTTTTCATCTGCTTTTTAAAGGAGTCCACTGAGTCCACTGATCTCAGGCTCAGGGGGAGAGAGTTCCAGAGTCTGGGGGCCACAGCGGCAAATGAACTGTCACCTTTGGTCTTTAGCCTGGTGCTGCACAACCAGTAGGCTTTGATCACTGGACCTCAGGGACCTGCTGGGGGTGTAGGGACTGAGAAGATCACCAATGTATGATGGTGCTTGTCCATGTAAGGCCCTAAAGACCAGAACCAGTATCTCTGAATGAACCCTGAAGTAAATCAGCAGCCAGTGAAGCTGGAGGAGAAGCGGGGTGATGTACGTGTATTTTGACAATTTGGTTAGAAGCCGAGCACAGGCATTCTGAACCCCCTGTAGACGGTTCAGGGAGGTTTTGTTCAAGACAAATTAAAAGCAACATCTACATGTGGTGACATCTGCATAAAGGAAGTCATCTTGTTAGCTTCTTGTAACTGAAGTTTCATTCTTCCTACCTGGTTGTTGTCAGGGAGTGTTTGAATCATGATCAGAAGGTCAGCTAGTGCATGGATGTTCTAATTAAACCAATAGAACCATGCATTTCATCACCAGTACTAACTTATCAAATAAATAGAGCTGCTTTTTCTATAAAACACACACAAAGAATAGTTCCTAAAACCAGAATGTTGGACAAAAACTCTACAACATGAACTTCTGCAGCTGCACAGGCTGAGAATACATCTGCTACAGGACTGAGGTAATTCCTTTTTTCCCCTCTCTGCCTGTTACACACACACACACACACACACACACCTACACACACACACACACACACACACACACACACACACACACACACACACACACACACACACACACACACACACACACACACACACACACACACACACACACACACACCACATCAGCCTACAAGGCAGCAGTTCCCATGATCGGTGAAGAACAGTCAGAGTCTGAGTTGTATGGCTACCAGATGTCAGGGGCTGTTTGCTGAGGACAAAATCAACCTACTAGAACATGTAAATGCACTCAAAATAATAATAAAATAAATCATCCAATTAAAAAGCACAAAAGGAACCAACACAGCTGATTGTGTGAATGCTCAGTTGCACTAACGCATTCATGAATCAATCAGCCTACAAAACTTTAAGCTGGTTTTACTTCTGTCGTAATATGATGAACCCTAAATACTCATCCAGGATGTGTTACTGGTAACTGTGGGCAGTTTGAAGCAGAATCCGAGCCGTGGGATAACACTGGTTTTGTCATTGGGATGCTTTTGGTCTTTCAGTGTTCCTCTGTTGTGGAAAAGGCAGTCGACTTATATAACATCTACTCTGTGGTGGAGTGAAACTCAGTGGTCAGAATATTTAAGACCTCCCATTGTTGTTCTGTATGCCTTCTATTTCCGTAGCCCAATGTGGAGCAATGACCCAGATGTAGAACACAGTGGTGAAACCTAAAGTGTTTATAAACAGTGACTTGCAAAACGTGCCAAAGGCTAAGGATGACTAAGCAGAAAACCAGACTAGTGTGTAGAAACTCCACAAGGAACTCACAGCTGACTGGGAAAACCAAGAAGCTTAAATCTTGAGAGTAATCAAGACAAAAAATAAAAAAATAAAAATTAAAACTAAAGTTTGAACAATTACTGAGAGTGGGAAGAACTTAGAGAAGAATATAAAGAAAATGCTCCTACAAAACAAACCAGGAAGCAACTAATCAGGACAAGTAAAAAATAAACACAAATAAAACCTACAGAATTTAGCCTTCAAATGACCCATAAGGCTCAACCAATTATTGGTATTTATAGTAACAGGTATTTATTGTATGTACTGGTACATTTAGAAAATTCTTATTATTTTTTTTAAATAACAAATTATAAAAAAGGATTCACTTAATAATCACAGCCAAGAAAACAAACATTAGGATCACAAGTGTCTAGTCCTGTCCCTCTACCATCCAGTATGTTTTATTTGTTTCCCTGCTCCACCACACCTGACTCTACTTTTGAATTACCTGTTCAGCAAGTCATCAAGCGCTGCCAGTCTGGTCAGTGATTAAAGTCAGGTGTGTTGATACCACCATTTCTTCATTATGTGTGTGTTTGTACAAAATCCTAAACTTAAATGACAAGTGAGATTGCAAATACCAGTCTGGTCCCGCTACTCCCAAAACATCCTCCTCTTCTGAAAAATATGTTGACATTCTCTGTGACACACTCATGGCTTCCCACACCCTTGACTGAAATTGTTTGGCCCAACTTGGCCCACTGCAAAGCTTTCAAACAGACGGTGCTGCTTCAATCTCAACGGGTGATGATCAGTAAAACAGAAAGCTGTGATGAAGCAGTTAAGTGATTAAGGCCCAGAGCAGACTCCTTGCATTGTTGTTGCTGCATGCTGGCTGAAGATTCACATTACTATAGATTAAATTTGGGGAAAATTTCTCCCTAAGATGATATGCAGAGCATTTAGGAACAAAGCTGTTCCTGTGCCTTGTTGTCTGCTCACATTTTTGGATCAAGGAAGTAGGATTTCTAATTTGTGTAAACATTTTTATAATTTTTCACCAGTAAAAAAATTAAAAAGTGGATTTAAATGACCCAGATCGTTTCAGAGGTAAACCAGAGAGCAACTCACCAAACTATGAACCAAGCCAGTTATTAACCAGTGAATCTATGATGTGGAGTTAGGAAATCAATCCCAATGATTTTGTAACTTGTTTGTTTCAAGTGATTTAAAAAATCTTAGAAATAAAACTGTGACACATTCTGACCAGAAATTCATCAATTTAAAGAAAATCAGCAGCTACATAGAAATAAAGGTAGACTTTTGCAGGGTTGCAGCTGTTGGAAACAAACGACAAACAACAAGTTCC